AGGAGCTACCTGGGCTACAGGAGCTACCTGGGCTACAGTAGCTACCTGGGCTACAGGAGCTACCTGGGCTACAGCAGCTACCTGGGCTACAGCAGCTACCTGGGCTACAGGAGCTACCTGGGCTACAGGAGCTACCTGGGCTACAGGAGCTACCTGGGCTACAGCAGCTACCTGGGGCTACAGCAGCTACCTGGGCTACAGGAGCTACCTGGGCTACAGGAGCTACCTGGGCTACAGTAGCTACCTGGGCTACAGTAGCTACCTGGGCTACAGCAGCTACCTGGGCTACAGGAGCTACCTGGGCTACAGGAGCTACCTGGGCTACAGCAGCTACCTGGGCTACAGCAGCTACCTGGGCTACAGGAGCTACCTGGGCTACAGGAGCTACCTGGGCTACAGCAGCTACCTGGACTACAGTAGCTACCTGGGCTACAGGAGCTACCTGGGCTACAGTAGCTACCTGGGCTACAGTAGCTACCTGGGCTACAGTAGCTACCTGGGCTACAGCAGCTATCTGGGCTACAGCAGCTACCTGGGCTACAGGAGCTACCTGGGCTACAGGAGCTACCTGGGCTACAGTAGCTACCTGGGCTACAGGAGCTACCTGGGCTACAGCAGCTACCTGGGCTACAGCAGCTACCTGGGCTACAGGAGCTACCTGGGCTACAGGAGCTACCTGGGCTACAGGAGCTACCTGGGCTACAGCAGCTACCTGGGCTACAGCAGCTACCTGGGCTACAGGAGCTACCTGGGCTACAGGAGCTACCTGGGCTACAGGAGCTACCTGGGCTACAGTAGCTACCTGGGCTACAGGAGCTACCTGGGCTACAGTAGCTACCTGGGCTACAGCAGCTACCTGGGCTACAGCAGCTACCTGGGCTACAGGAGCTACCTGGGCTACAGGAGCTACCTGGGCTACAGTAGCTACCTGGGCTACAGGAGCTACCTGGGCTACAGCAGCTACCTGGGCTACAGCAGCTACCTGGGCTACAGGAGCTACCTGGGCTACAGGAGCTACCTGGGCTACAGGAGCTACCTGGGCTACAGGAGCTACCTGGGCTACAGCAGCTACCTGGGCTACAGCAGCTACCTGGGCTACAGGAGCTACCTGGGCTACAGGAGCTACCTGGGCTACAGTAGCTACCTGGGCTACAGTAGCTACCTGGGCTACAGCAGCTACCTGGGCTACAGGAGCTACCTGGGCTACAGGAGCTACCTGGGCTACAGCAGCTACCTGGGCTACAGCAGCTACCTGGGCTACAGGAGCTACCTGGGCTACAGGAGCTACCTGGGCTACAGGAGCTACCTGGGCTACAGGAGCTACCTGGGCTACAGGAGCTACCTGGGCTACATCAGCTACCTGGGCTACAGCAGCTACCTGGGCTACAGGAGCTACCTGGGCTACAGGAGCTACCTGGGCTACAGTAGCTACCTGGGCTACAGTAGCTACCTGGGCTACAGCAGCTACCTGGGCTACAGGAGCTACCTGGGCTACAGGAGCTACCTGGGCTACAGCAGCTACCTGGGCTACAGCAGCTACCTGGGCTACAGGAGCTACCTGGGCTACAGGAGCTACCTGGGCTACAGGAGCTACCTGGGCTACAGGAGCTACCTGGGCTACAGGAGCTACCTGGGCTACAGCAGCTACCTGGGCTACAGGAGCTACCTGGGCTACAGGAGCTACCTGGGCTACAGGAGCTACCTGGGCTACAGGAGCTACCTGGGCTACAGGAGCTACCTGGGCTACAGCAGCTACCTGGGCTACAGGAGCTACCTGGGCTACAGGAGCTACCTGGGCTACAGGAGCTACCTGGGCTACAGGAGCTACCTGGGCTACAGTAGCTACAGTAGCTGGGCCTACTGAAATTCCAATTGAATGTGTTGGAGTTAAAGTCTCAAAGATAGCAGAAAAATGGGTTGGCCATTCTATCATCGAATATCTTAATGATTCCAATCCGGGTCTGCTCCCTGTGCAATTCAGATTTTGATCTCTTCACTCGACTGAAACGGCTGTCTGCGTCTTTGTTGAGAAGGTGAAGTCTTATTTAGACAAAAACAGTTATGTAGCGGCTGTTTGATAAAGTGAATCACCTTAAGCTCTTGTCTAGACTGACAGCTTTTAAATTTAGCAATCAAACCATTAAATGGATACAATCTTATTTATCAGACAGAAAACAAACTGTGCAAATAAAGAATAGTAAGTCACCCTATCTTCACTGTACGCAAGGTGTCCCTCAGGGATCCATTTTGGGTCCTCTCCTATTTTCCCTTTATGTTAATAACTTACCCAATGTGGACATTATTATGTATGACGACGATACGGTCATTTTTACACAAGCCAAAAGTGCTGATGATGCAGCTTATCAGCTCTCATTAGTCTTGGATGATTTACTAAAGTGGCTGAATGAGTCTTGCTTGTGTCTTAATGTTAAAAAGACTGTATCAATGTTTTTTTACTAAACCTAAAACACCCGTGGCCACAGTAAAAGTTTGCTTGAGTGGAAAAGAATTAATTAATGTTGAGGAATTTCTGAAGGCTTGACTGCCTTCAGGAGTCATTTAAAGATGTGGCTGAGGGACAAACATGTGATCATGTTTAGATAGAGCTGGTGCAGTGCGGGAAACAGCTATCATTGTAATGTGGGCTGTGCAATACAGGTCTATACAAGTAGTAGTAGTAGTAGTAGTAATGTTTATTTATATACCGCCTTTTCACTGCAGATCTGAGTCTCAAAGCGGTTTACAATTGTTATTTTTGGGCATTTGTCTCTCACTCCACACAGAGATGGGAGCGGGGCCAGTACAGGAGGCACATGCCAGAACTATTGTACATATTTTTAGTGGTAGGGGAAACCGGAGTACCCGGAGGAAACCTACGCAGACACGGGGAGAACATGCAAACTCCACTCAGAAAGGCTCTGGTCCGACCGGGATTCGAACCCAGGACCTTCTTGCTGAGAGGCGAGAGTGCTATCCACTCAGCCACCGTGCCGCCCAGTGCAATAAGGAGTGGTCCAACACGGGTTAGTGTGATATAGAGTGGTGCAATACGGGTCAGTGCAATATCAGGACAGTCAGGGCATGTGCAATACTCGGGTTTGTGCAATACAGATGATGTGTTTCTGTTACTGATTTCTACATTGTGCTTTACTGTCCACTCTTGCTGGTTGTTCTAACATGTGATCACTGTCCCTCTCTCTCTGTATATAAATAGTGTCTCTGTTTGTTTTTACTAACTTGTGTGTAACACCAACCTGCAGGGGGTCTGCAGATGGAAATTAACCTAAGGCTATAATCTGGCATTTTTACATTTGTAAAAATTTTCATTAATATGTATTGTTCCCCCTTTCTCAAATAAATAAATAAAATAAAATAAATAAAATATATAAAATAAATAAAATAAATAAAATAAATAAAATAAATAAAATAAATAAAATAAATAAAATAAATAAAACAATAATGATAATAATAATAATAATGATAATGGTAATAATAATAATAATACTAATGATGATGATAATAATAATAATAATAATAATGACAATAATAATACTTACTTACTTTTTTTTTTTTACTTACTTAAGTAAGTAAGTTAAAATAAATAAAATAAATAAAACAATAATGATAATAATAATAATAATAATAATAATAATAATAATAATAATAATAATAATAATAAATAATAATAATAATAATAATGATGATGATGATGATGATGATGATGATGGATGATGATAATAATAATAATAATGATGACAATAATAATAGTATTATTAATAATAATAATAATAATAATAATAATAACATTTATATTAAATAATAATCAGAGAGGAACCATCTGAGAAGTGAGAAACCTGACGGGGACCATATAGAGAGGGAGACCCGCTCCCCCGGACTCAGACTGTAGAAGACTGAAGGCCTGTCTCGGTCTTGGACCCGGTCCTCGTGCTCGTACCTGCGCTCGTGCACGCGCGGCCTGGGAACCTCAACACGTGCTCCTGCCGCAGCCCGCGCGCGCTCTTTCAATGCGCTGCGTCACGGCGCGTTAACGACGTAACGGTTCGATTACACCCGCACAGAGGCGCGCGCACAGCATTCACGCGGGGGCGGGAGTCACGTGCTTTAAATGCCCCAAAACCAACACGGTCAAAAGGACATTGTCTTTTACTGAGTCCAGAACAACACAAGTACTCAACAAGTGACACACACACACACTCAGAGAGAGCACACACACACACACACACACACACACACACAGATTTCATATATATATATATATATATAAATCTATCTTATCATGGAAAACACCTCCGTGGCTCCTTCAGGGAAGACTGAGGCCTCTGTGCAAGAAGGGCCTTTATCCCCACCCCTGTCAGACTGTACAATAAGTAACTTAAAGTCCTATTGGACTGAAGAGCCAGCTGCTGTAGTAAGTAAGTATTTATCTTTCTCAGAGTCACAGCGGTTTACAGTCGTGTGCTTTAGTCTCTGACTCACACAGAGACGGGAGCGGGGCCTATCGCCACTTTTTACATAACTATTTTAACCTCTAACATGTTAAAGGCCCTAACCACAAATCTGAGTGACTCTGTCTGTGATGTCACACATTTCTCCATCAGAGATCAATAAAGTTTATATTATTTATATAGAACATGTTTTGGTTTAACAGCATCAGCTGCAGCTCAGAGGCCTCTGTGTATGTGTGTGTGCGTGTGTGTGTGCTCTCTGTGTGTGCGTGTTATATGTGTGTGTGCGTGTGTGTGCTCTCTGTGTGTGTGTGCGTATGTGTGTGTGCGTGTGTGTGCTCTCTGTGTGTGCGTGTGTGTATGCGTGTGTGTGTGTGTGTGTGTGTGTGTGCTCTCTGTGTGCCTATATGTGTGTGTGTGTGTGTGTCTGTGTGCCTATGTGTGTGTGTGCGTGTGTGTGTTCTGTGACACTTGTGTGAAGAGCGCGGGCACGCGACGGGAGCGCGCAGAGCGGTGCCGTGGGAAGAGCGGCACATGCAGCCGTCTGTGCAACATGTCGCTTTAGAAACAGAACAAAGAGCCGCCGGTACCGACCAGGTGCACGAGGCCACGTCCTCACGCACGCAGCACGCAGAGGAGCGCGCGAGGGCGTGTGACCGTTGGAGACGCATCCATCACAGCGTCACGGCGTCACAGAGAGCCGCGTGTGGTTCTATCTCCTCCTCAGGACCCAGTGTGACGTCACAGGGACATGGGGCCGAAGGACTGTCCATCTCCACAGACCTGACTGTCCTGAGGAGACAGGGGACAGTTTATACCTGCGCACAGGGGACAGTTTATACATGCGTGTCACTCCCGTATTCGTCCCGGAAACCGGATTCGTCTAGAAATTCAGTTTGCGCATGTCAAAAAGTTGAATATGTCCTTAAGTGATGGTTAAGTTTAGGCGTCTGATTAAGATGGTTAAGTTTAGGGTTAAGGCTGGGTTGGGGTTATTTTACGGGAATGGCTGGTTAAGTTTAGGCAAGAATAGGTAGTTTTTTATACTTACTTCCGCTTCCGTTCAGATTCCGTGACGTAATCTACTGCTGCCTGTGCTCATTGGATCAAACTGAACTTCCGGACGAATCCGGTTTCCGGGACAAATACGGGAGTGACATGCGCACAGGGGGACAGTTTATACCTGGGCACAGGGGGACAGTTTATACATGCGCACAGGGGGACAGTTTATACCTGCGCACAGGGGACAGTTTATACCTGCGCACAGGGGACAGTTTATACCTGCGCACAGGGTATAAACGCGCACCGGGGGACAGTTTATACCTGCGCACCGGCGGACAGTTTATACCTGCGCACCGGGGGACAGTTTATACCTGCGCACCGGCGGACAGTTTATACCTGCGCGCAGGTAACCAAACCAAACTGAACTAATTTTTGTATGTGAGCGCTGAACTCACTCTCTCTGCTCGCCCCCCGCACTCACGGAGCTCTCACTCTCTCTCCCCCTTTCTCTCTCCCCCTCCCCTCTCTCTCTATCCCTCACCTCTCTCTCTCCTCCCTCTCTCTCTCCCTTTCTCCCCCTTCTCCTCTCTCTCCCCCTCTCTATCTCCCCCTCTCTCTCTCTCGCCCCCTCTCCTCTCTCCCTCTCTCCCCCTTCTCCTCTCTCCCCCCTCTCTCTCTCTCCCCCTCTCCTCTCTCTCTCCCCCTCACCTCTCTTCTCCTCTCTCTCCCCCTTCTCCCCTCTCTCTCCCTCTCTCTCTCTCTCTCTCCTCGCCCCCCTCTCCTCTCTCCCCCCTCTCCCCCCTTCTCTCTCTCTCTCTCTCTCTCTCCCCCCTCTCTCTCTCCCCTCTCCTCTCTCTCTCTCTCCTCTCCTCTCTCCCTCTCTACCCCTCTCTCTCTCCTCTCTCTCTCTCCTCTCTCTCTCTCCTCTCTCTCCTCTCTCTCTCCTCTCTCTCTCTCCTCTCTCTCCTCCTCTCTCCCCCTCAGGTCCAGTCTGGGAGCAGCGAGAGGGGAGGGGGCGGGCCTTCTTGTTAATCTCCGGAGCGTCTGTCGGACCGCGCTCTGATTGGCTGTGAGCTGCTGCTCTGTGATTGGCCCTCTGTGATTGGCACGCGCTCTGTCTGTATAAAGGCCTTGCGCCCCCCGGGACCCTCAGACATGGAGCTGGAGCCCTTCTCGTACTTAGATGAAGAGGACTTCTTCACGGACCAGTCCTCGCGGGACCTGGACCCAGAGGACTTCCTGGACGAGGACGTGGACTTCCTCACGTTCCCGGACTTGTACCGTCACGCGGACTATGACGCAGGAGACCTGTCCTTCTCCTCCTCCTCCTCTTTCTGCGCAGACTCTGCGGCAGAACTCTCTCCCCTGAGCGCACACAGCGCACTGCTCAAACGGCGGCGGAGACTGCGGTCTGAGCGGGAGCTGCAGCAGCTGCGTCAGGCCGCGAACGTGCGCGAGCGCCGCCGCATGCAGTCCATCAATGATGCGTTCGAAGGTCTGCGCACGCACATCCCCACGCTGCCATACGAGAAGCGCCTGTCCAAAGTGGACACGCTGCGTCTGGCCATCGGATACATCAACTTCCTCGCGGAGCTCGTGCAGTCTGACGTCCCTCTGCGTAACCAGGGCTCTGATGCGCCTGCGCAGCCCAAGAAGGTCATCATCTGCCACCGCGGCACGCGTAAGTGTATATGCTATATGTTTGTACATGTATATATGTACATGTATATATGTACATGTGTATATGTACATGTGTATATGTACATGTGTATATGTACATGTGTATATGTACATGTGTATATGTACATGTGTATATGTACATGTGTATATGTACATGTATATATGTACATGTATGTGTTTATGTACTTCATATACGCTCCACGTGTGACATCACTCACCCCCGCTCTCCCCCTCAGGCTCCCCCTCTCCTTCGGACCCGGACTTCGGTCTCCCTCCTCTCGCGGGACACTCTCTGTCCTGGTCCGACCACAAACAGCTGCGGGACCAGAGCGTGATCCGGACCGCCAAAGTC